GAGGGTAGTACTTCTTAATCTTGGGTAAGTGGGCTAATGCCAACAAAACTAGCCAAGGAGGTTGAGTAAAAACTTCAAGGTTGTACTTCTCATAATAGTGTAGAGATAATATTGTTATTCCAGTCACAAAGTCGCTAACACTGATTGCATCAGTTTTCAAGTAGTGAATGTTAAAGTACTTCCTAATATCATCCAACATCTGTTTAGAAAACAATAATTCAATAAGTATTCATACCAATGTTCACAAACATATAAGTTTAACATATATGGGCCACATATATACTCAAAAATCATGTCCATGGACTTCTTCAAAAATTCATAATATACTTATCTTATATGCACACATAGTCTTTGAAACTTAAAAAAAAAATTCAATTCATTTTCTTTTGAAATTAATAATGTACTTGATTCATGATATAGGATGGTCGAGCCCGCGTCTCCCAGGTAAGTTACCCACAGCGTCGGGGAGATCCTTGCCTAGACAGAGAGGCGTACCCATTATAGGCCTCGTTACGAGAACCCGATCAACCTTTTCTCAATCATCTTTCCAAAGAAGAAAATAGGGTTTTAGGAAAATGGTTTTTTTTTTTTTTTTTTTTTTTTTTTTTTTTTTTTTTTTTATAAAAAAATGCAAAACTCTATCCTATATGCCCAACTTAAGTCTACCCATCCAATTTATTTATTCCACTTTTAATCTTGTTTTAAGACCCGACAAACTGATACCACTTTGTCACACCCCCAAATCTCTCTCTACGTAAATTGTAGAAAAATACGTATAAATACCGTAGAGATAGGTTTGGGCGTATTACCGCCGCGTATAACGCAAGGCTTATACCAAAAATACTTTTGCAGCGGAAAACTTAATTCTTTATTAAATAACCATAATAAAATTCGTTCATAATTCATGACACAAAAATGACTCAAACTTTTCCTAGCTAGGTGAAATTTCTCGTGGACTCCCGTATGCATCAATCAATTTCCACCTGAAAAATTCACCTGTTAACCATAAATGATAAACAGGGCAAGGCCAAAACGAAAGCACGTATTAGCAAGTATGCTAAGTAAGTCATGTGTAAGATAAGTAAAACGTAATTTAAATCATTTACGTTTAATTAATAAAAGAAATACCAATGTCGTATTCAAATAGAACTTTTCAATCCAATTCTTTTAATTCAAGTAAAACTCAATCGAATCATACCAAACCAATTCCTCACTAAGTGTGCACACCCCCCAAGTGGTTTACATTATAATCAAAGGCCAAACTTGAGGAAAGACTAGGTCATGCAAAGTCCATAGTCTTCTCTAAACCATTCCCTAAGTGGGATTCAATATATCGATTGATTTATTTAAAAACTCGTCTTTAAAAAAATCCATCACACTTACATAACAAAAAACTTGCAAATCATTTCCAATAATTTTTCAATCACAATTTAAGGTCCTTTTGATTTAAATCCAAATCATTTAATTCAAACCGACAAAATTTCATAATTTTAATACGGAACATAATATCATAAATTCATACGAAACATAAAACATGATTTAATACGGAATGTAATAAAATATGATTTGATACGGAATATAATAATTTATAGTCTCATAATAAATCATAGTTTTATACGGAACATGAATTATAGTTTCACAAATAAAATTTCATACGGAATAAATTATAATTTCATACGATCATAAAATGTAGTTTCTTAATCAACTTTCGAAGGTATCAAACCACATAACGTACCTTGATCAATCACGAGCGATTTCACAACTACTTCTCTAAATCACGAGCACCCTACACATAATTATAACCTTAATTAATATAAGGTTATCAAATAAACACAACAATTTAATTAAACTACCCTATATGTGCATGAATTAATTAATTATCATATATAAAATAATTTTCTATTTTATAATTTTAAAGAATTTTCTGTTTTTATAAAATTAATTTGTATAAGAAATAATATTTAGAAAATGGTTAATAAAATAAATTTAAGAGGAAAGGAGGGATTGAAGGAAGGTGGAGGAACCAATGCAAAGGAGGAGCAAGGGTGGCTGTGGCCGGCTGGAGTGGCGGCTGCTGGTGGCTGCTGGCGGCAGCAGGTGGTCGCCGGTGAGGGTGGTCGTCGGTTGCCGGAAAAATGGAAGGAGGGAGAGGAGGAAAACCGTGAGGAAGAGGGGAAAGAAGAAGAGAATTCTTGAGGTTTTTGGTGTGATTTTTGGGGTGTATGAAAGGGGTACTTATAGATGTTTAGGGGATGGGTTTATGGCATTTTAAGGTTTATAATTTATGGAAGTTTTTGATCATGAAATTCCTTTTGGTAATTTTTAAGCTTGGAGTGCAAGGATGACATAGAATAAAATATTTTTAGGTTTAAGAATGGAAGTAAAAGAAATTTAAAGATTTTATTTTTAATAAAATAATTTAAAATCTTTGTAGAAAAACCATGAATGGCCGAAAATATTGAGCAAAATATTACTCAATATTTTCGGACCTATCATGTTAGTTTAGGGATTTTATAAAATAATTTATTTGTCAAAAACTAAAGATTTAATAAGAATAAAATCAATTTTTCTTGCTAGATTATTAGGGTGGCCGAATTTGGACAATACTAAGGTATAAAAATCAGATTTTTAATTATATAAAGTTTAAAATATTATTTGATAAATTTTGGAAATCATTTTATTTCATAAAAATAATTAATTTAGCAAATAATTAATAAAAATCAGATTTTTAATGTATAAATATCCAAAAATATGCTTCATTAGTTTAGGAATTAATTTTATTTTATGAAAATACTTTTATTTAGAGAAAAATCAGATTTTTAATTAAAAAAATTCGAAAATGATGTTTATTTAGTTTTAGGAAATTAATTTCATTTCATGAAAATAATTAGTTTAGCAAGATATTAAGTAAAATTGGATTTTATTGGGAAAATCCGAAATTATATTTAAAAAAATCAGATTTTTAAATTCGAAAATGCCTCTAATTTTATTAATTAATATAGTTTTGTTTTATTATTTATTTAATCTAAATACTATTTATAAAATTTTTAGTTTATCCATTTAATTAAAATAAATGATTTTGGCGCCAAAATTCAAATATCATTTTGGCTCCAAAACTGAAATACTTTTAAGTTAGAAAATACGTCGAAAATACGAGACTAAATACTCTTTAATTTAGAAAATGCCTTTCAAAAATACGGGGTATTACAAAGGCTGTCGCACCGCGATAAGCCTGTCGCGTCGTGGCAAGGCTATCGCGCCGCGATGGAACCTCTTTTACTTGGATTCAACTTCTGACTCTTTTTCTAACCCTCCAACCCTCTTTTTCCCCTGTAAATAGAGGTCTTATCACCCCGTTTTTAATCACCAACAATCCTCATCTAATCCTCTCTCTAAGCTAAAAGCTTTTCTCTCTCTCTTCTTTCTTAACTTCTACCCTTAGCCTAAACATCCCAACACATCCAAATACACATATTTTGATGCTTTTCCCAAGCAAACACCATACCTCCTTCAGGAGCTTTGAATACTCCTAGCCAATCTCATAGTTGCCTTCGACCTCTACGTGAAAGGTTGACAGTTTTGAGTCTTAGGTCCCAAATCTTTATTTCAATTCTTATTTGGTTTAGTTTTTTTAATCTTTCTTGAAGTTATTAACGTGTGTGTTGTTTTGATAGAAAGAGATACGAGGCATCAAAGTAAGTAATTCGATTACTTATTTATTCCTTTGATATAAAAATCATGTTTAAGATATTATATTAATTCCTAGTATCATGTTAGGATGTTGATTTGGATTCCTAGTATCATGTTAGGATGCTTAATTAATATTTCTAATGTCATGCTTTCTAGTATCATGTTTAGACTAATGTTTTGATTATGTTTTTTATTAGTGACATGCTAGGGTTTGTTATTAATCCATTTAGTATCATGCCTAGGATCTTGCTAATCATGTTTTAATCATGTTTTGATTATGATGATGATTTGTTGTGTCAATTATTATATGTTGCTTGATTATTCATGATTTATTGTTATTGCTTGATCACACCCCTTTTTGCAGGTTTAAAGGGAATTTGTACTTGAAATTACGCCTAATAAGATATTTAATAATTTGATTTAGGCTTAATATGATTTTAATTCAAGTGATCGCCAATAATAGATCTATTTGTGCATTAATAATTAACCAACGTAGATTAAATATGCTTAGGATTAACTTATTGTATGTATGTTGATCGGAAAGCGCACATGAATATCATAAGAATTAAGTAAAGGCCGATTTAGGGCGGGTTCAATCTCTTTTAGTTTGGATTCGTACCATCATCCCCAAATATCCAGTCATGGTTATGGAACACTATGGAATTAGCGATCTTCGTGATCGTGAATGGGGGGTGTAACCTTACCACCCGTGAACGGTTTACAAGCTCCTAAAACTTGTTGGCGACTCTTTATCTCTAGCTTCCTTTCCTTTGGACGCCACCGTGCCTAAAAGCATGATCACAATGGGGCTCAAAGTTGAGTTTGAAAAATTCCCTACAACCATAACCTTTCACACTACAAGCAATTTATTTGCAAGAATGCGAAATTTCATGTTTATGTGAAATTAAGAGCTCACCAAATTAAGCAACCAATATGACTTCACAAACATGCTTAATAAGGAGTAAAATAGTAGAAGATTAATGGTATAATCAAACACATACAACAATTGCATGTCATAATTAATCAAGGTTTAAAGATTTAAAATTTTTTCGTTCAAAACGAACACTAGTAGAAAAAATGAAATAGGCAACCCCCCTTTAGCACCGGTTCTTGAAAACTGGTGCCAAAAGAAATGGGCGGGATTGAAAAATTCGGAGTTGGCACCGGTTCCAACCAAAACCGGTGCCAATCATTTAATTAGCACCGGTTCAAACCGGTGCCAACTTATGTTAAAAAAAAAAATAAGTATGACATAGAGTTGGCACCGGTTCGCCTTAAACCGGTGCAAACTATGTTAATTAGCACCGGTTCAAACCGGTGCCATATTTGAGGAAAAAAAAACCCGGGTTAGGTTATTCGTGCGTTTTTCTTTTTCAATTCCTTTTCCTCTGTAAATTGCTTCTCCTTTCTCCTTATACCTTTCCCCATTTCCCTCTTGACTCCACTACTTCCACCACTACGCACCCCTTTCCACCGCCACCATACTCTATCTTCATTCTTCACGGCATCAAGGCGATGTGACGGTGGTCGCGATTGGTTGTTGGATTTTTAGAGTTTCAGGTGGCAATTTGGTTGAGTTTTTGTTATTTTAGTTTTGAAGGGCTTTGGTTGATTGTGGTTATGGGTATCCGATTTTTAGTTGTTTTTAGATGGATGTTTGGTTGTTTTTAGATGGATTTTTGGTTGTTTTTAGATGGATTTGTTGTGGGATGCAATTCCTTGGTATTTTTGTTGTGGTTTTGAATAACTGATTGGTTGAACTCTTCACTCTGGTCTACGCCTCCTCCTTCTTCGTTTGCTACCACCATCTCTCTCCTCCGCCCATCGTCCGCCCTCCGTCGCCGGTTCGACCTCCATCCCCACCTCCTCCTCCGCCGGACTCCAATGGCAGTTCCACTTCCTATGCTTCTCCTTCTCCTTCTCCTACCCCCGAGGAGATCTCTCGCCATGCTCAGCTCTCACTCGATGTTCCTCTCTCTCTTCTTTCTTTTTCAATTCAATTCATCACCAACAACTCCTAACCTAACCTAATTTGTTGAATTTGTAAAGCTGTCGAAGAAGATCTTCAACATCAGAGAAATCAGGAGGTTAGCATCCATGGGTCTTCCTGATGCTCCTGCCATCCGCTCTACTGTTTGGAAGGTTTCTGTCTCGCTTTCTATTCATTTCATACTTTGAGTTGATTACTTACTTAATCGGAATTGAAATACCTAAAAATATAAATTTCAATTGCAATTGGCAGCTTCTGCTGGGGTATTTTCCTAGTGATCGAGCAATGTGGCCCTCTGAATTAGCCAACAAGAGGTCTCAATACAACCACTTCAAGGATGACCTCTTGATGTCTCCTGTATGTCCTCTTCTCTCTTTTCTTTTTTTTTTCTTTTTTTTTGTCTTTGTTTCCTTTCACTTTCAATTTTGCTTCGCGCTTCTTTCATGTTAATTATTAGTTTAATGATCAAATTTAGGGTGCATCAAAAACCACCTCTAATAGAACCTCTTAACATATTATGTTTATGAAATTTTGTCTACCGTTTACCCAATTGTAGATAGTAGATATAGTCTCATAAGAGGAATCGCGGTGATGTTGTATTATGATAGTATATGCATATATGGCTTTCTGTTTAGGTGAACCTCTTAACAAGTATACGCAACTTGTTGCTAGCATTTTTAAGTTTATGTTATGTTGTTATTGATTGACTACTGTCTTATTTATGCGCCCTCTGCCATTGCTTGAGGCTCTTGGGAGAATAAGTTAAGTGGCCTAATATTGTAATGTCAGGTTCTTGCTGACAAAGCTTATCTTGTTGGTGTGGAGCAAAAAGGTATTAAAGTGGATTCTTTTGGAATAGAAGAATCTCTGAAAGAATTGGCTCAACTAGCTGACACAGCAGGTCTTCAGGTTGTTGGCTCTACTTATCAAAAGTGAGTATGTCGTGAAGGAAATGTCCGTCGATCAAGTGTAATCACTAATTATAATTAGGACAAATATGGAGATTAATTATAATTGGTTATTTAGGTAATCATAATGTTTTGCTAGAAACCAATTGTGATTTGTGAACTAATGCGATTAGTTTACTACTAATAATAATCCGGTCCTATGAGGTCACACATATGAGTATATGATTGAATTAATATGCATGAAAAGCATTAAGCCTAAGAGATGCGATTATGTAAAGAGGTGCGATAGTCTATTATAAATATTACTAAGTGACATAAATGAAAATATACATTTATCATTAATCACAAAACCTCTCTCTCAAATATCCTCTAGTAAAAGCAATAAGGAATTCTTCATTATTCCGTACTAGCATACGTGGAAATTCAATCATTGCCCGTGGACCAATATTAGAGGAACGACAATTGACATTCTAACGATCTCTTATTGAGGAAAGAAGTGCCCTCTTACTTTGTGGAAATCACGCATCGAGGGTATGATATATTACTTTATGTGATCGTATTATTTATATGCATGAGATCCTGTTTTAGATGCTAAGAAATAATTTCTTGAAATTCCGCTAAGTGCATCTATATTCCTACAGTGGTATCAGTTTGCCTCTTGCATATAATAATATGATTATTATTAATTCGATTAATTTGTTGTATACTGTTAATTTTAATTTCATTAAGGGAAGTAGGGGTGAAAGTTCGGTTTTCGGTTTGGTTTATGGCCCAAACCGAAACCGAACCACTCTAATTCGGTTTCGCGATTTTAGAAACCAAAACACACCACTTTACTTTAGAAACCGAACCAAACCAAACCGAATAAATTTCGGTTTCAAAACAAAAAACCGAACCACACCGAATTGTTTTTGAGCCTTGTTTTTTTGGGCTTTATTCTGCTATTTTTGATATCTTAAAGCCTTAAACAGCAAGGAGCATGTAAATAGAGCATGTAATACATTAATAGCAAGGGCTTAAACAACATAATAGATTAATAGCAACCTGAACATGTAAATAAAGCAAGGCAGACAGGCAGTAGGCCCATTAGCAATGCATGTCAAGTTGTCAACAACTCAACATCACAACATTCACAAGTCACAACAATAAAACATTAAAAGTTCTAATTCAAAGTTCTAACTTCTAAGAATTCAACACTTCATCCAAAAAAAAAAGTGTTCAACATTACAACTACAGCAGTAGCATAACAATATCAGCAGCAGCAGCATAGAGGGAAAGTCGGCAGGCAGCAGCATAGAGGAAAGGCAGCAGGCAGCAGCAAGTTAGCACAGCAACAACAAATTAGCAAAGAGCCCACATCAGTCTATTATTTGCACTTCATCAATATCAGCATCACTAATTGCCATATTCTTCAAATCTATCATAATTCATAACAAAAATAACCAAGTTAATATATATATAGATAAATGAAAATATGTATATTTTGATTAGATATTCTTATATATTACCTTCTTCAAGCAGCTCAACTTCCTCTAAACATTCTTCAATACTTGGAAATTGTGAAGCACGTAACCAATTTTGAGCACAAACAAGACCTTCTACAACTCGGGGAGTTAATGAGCTCCTAAACTGATCTAGAACTCTGCCACCAGTGCTGAATGCACTCTCTGAAGCTATTGTCGAAATAGGGACAGCTAGAACATCACGGGCAATTCTCCCCACGGTAGGAAACCTTGAACAATTGAACTTCCACCAGCTCAAAATATCAAATTCACCTATATCATCTGCCGTATCCTCCTCCAAATATTTGTCCAACTCTATTTTTGCATCTCCATCTTTCTCACACTTGTGTTTCTTATACTTACTCTTTAAGACTTCAATCTTTTTATGTTTGGGAGACAATGGAGTTTTGTCATCCTTACTTGAAGACACTTCCTCCCTATTCACATCATTAGATGAAGAAACACGATACTCCTCATACAAAGCATTCAAAGTTGCCTTCACATTATCAACCAACTTTGATGCAACAATAGGATCATAAATTTCAGTTATCATCCACTGAACATAATCAAGCTTATAACGAGGATCAAGGACAACGGCAATAAAAATCAAGAGGTTTATTTTTTCTGGATCACCCCAATACTTTTCATATTTTTCTTTCATTCTACAAGCCATAAGACACATATCCGGATCATCACTTGAAACCAAATCTTTCAAAAGTACAGCAACACTCACCAATTCATGAAAAAACAAATTGGAAGTGACATATAAAGAGCCAGAGACATGCAAGGTCAGATCATAAAAGGCTTGTAGAAATTCAAAAAATCTTCTCACATTATTCCAATCATCAGAATCAGGGCTACCCTTACCATCCCTCTCATTCAAATCAACTACATAGTGGGGGTCTTCCTCAGAATACCTCTCAAAAGCATCCTCAAGTTCAATAGCAGCATTCAACATCAAATAGGTGGAGTTCCACCTAGTAGGCACATCAAGGCACAATCCCTTTTTTGTGTTGATTTTTTCATCTAAGACACATTTTTTAAACCTTTGCAACCGAATCATTAACAATTTTCAAACCATCAGAAACAACAAAATTGACAATGTGCGCAACACCACGCATGTGAATGAAACGACCCTTAAGAACCCCAGTTTTCCATCCATTTATTTTCCTTCTCAAATACCCAATTGCAGTATCATTTGAGCTAGCATTGTCAACAAATATGCACATGATATTTTCAACCCCCCAATCAAGCAAACACTTTTCAATTTCTTTGCCAATATCATCACCCTTATGACTAGAAATAGGACAAAAATTCAGAATTCTTTTGTGTAATTTCCAATCATTATCAATGAAGTGGACAGTGAGGCACATGTAATTGATTTGTTGTATTGAGGTCCATGTATCAGTGGTTAAAGAAACTCTTGAATTACACCTCTTTAACACATTTTTCAACTTTCGTTTTTCAGTTAAATATGTTTCAAAACAATCTTTGGCTACTGTAATGTGAGAAGGAACATTAAATCTAGGTTCCATTACACCACAAAAGTGTCTAAAACCTATACCTTCTACAAACTTAAATGGAAGTTCATCAACAATCACCATAAATGACAAAGCTTTTCTAATACTACCAGCATCAAATTTGTGGTATGTCAACCCACTAGTACTACCACTTGGTACTTTATCACTTTTGAATGAAAGCAAACTTTGTTTTGAATCTGTAGGGGTGTTTAAGGGATACTTACGACATCGCGAAATATGAGCCCATAACACACTGGTGCCGTTTTTCTTTGCCCCACACTTGTAACTCATTCCACAATACTTGCAAATTGTCTGCCTTCCAGAAGCCAAATCTTCTTTAATAAAGTGCTCCCAAACTTCAGAGCGCTCTTTCATCCTCTTCCTTTTTGCGCCCTGTTCTTTATTCTGATTTTCTGAGACTTGGTCAGTCTCATGTTCAGACTGAGGCTGGTCAGGAGCACCACCCACATTGGTTGCCATTGGTCTAAGACATAAATAAAACCAAATTAATAGAGCAGAATGCAGAATGCACAATGCATCAGAACAACATCACAACACAGCAGAACAACATCACAAGTTCACAACAACACAGCAGCAAAAGTTCACAACACAGCAGCAAAAGAACAACATCACAATCACAACACATGCATCCATGTAGTCTTAACCATTTCTTTGAAAATACAGTTACATTTCTTTGAAAATGTACACTGTAAATAGCTATGAAACTAATACAGAGTGTATTTGCAACTACTTAGGCCTAGTGTAGCATGTAGACTGTAACAAAGTATTTCGCAAATAAAACATAAACGAACATTGCCTCACAAACAACATCACAATTCACAAGTTCACAATCAACAATCGAGTGTATATTCACCCAAAGATACTAGAGAATTCAAGGGAAGGAACAACCGAACAGATCTGAATTTTTTATTAAATTGTACATGTAAATTGTAATTTTATCATGATTCAAACTCATCTTTAATAATCATTTTCGTAATTAACACTACTCATAATTAAAACCTTAAGAAATTAACTTTCATTTTCCAGATTTGAACCAAGTAAATGCTTAATCGCAAATATGAAAAATTACCTTTAGACGGCATGACGGTGGAGGAATGGACGGTGGATGCTGGACGCCTGGACGGTGAACGGTGGTGGAATGGACGGTGGAATGGATGAGAGTTTGAGACTTAGGGTAAGAGGCTGAGAGCGTGGAGGATTCAGACTTTCAGAGGAAAACGCAAATAGATTAGGTTTTTTTTTGGGTTTATATACTTAGGGTAAATTGGGCCTAATATTTCGGTTTTTTCGGTTTTATTCGGTTTTTCGGTTTTCAATTTTCTCAGACCGAAACTGAACCGAAAACCGAATTTTTTTTTTTAACAAACCAAACTGAACCACTTTAGGAAAAAAACCGAACCATATTTCTTATTCGGTTTGGTTTTCGGTTCGGTTTGGTTTTAAACCGAATTTGTTTCACCCCTAAAGGGAAGGAAGTATCGTATTATTGAAATTAAAGTTAAAAACCCCAAATTAATTAGTATGGGGATTTTGCTTTTCTTTGTCTTATAAGCCATTTCGCCATGCCCAGAAGCCACGAATTTCAGATATTCGTTGGCCATGGAGTAAACTCAGCCACGAATTTCCGAAATTCGTTGGTCAAGGTGAACTCTGGCGATGAAGGTAGGCATATCGGGTTGTGTCGAACTGAAATCCGGTGGTTATAAGTTATCTCCGCCACGCCCAAAGCCACGAATTTCAGAAATTCGTTGGCCATGGAGTACACTCCGGCCACAACTTTTAGAGTTTGGTGGTCAAGGAGTCAATTCCGGCCGTTTGCGTGGCTGCAATTAAGTTGCGCAACCGGCTGAACGTGATTGCCGTTGGCTGGAACCGTTCTGGCCGACGATTTTCTTCATGCCTCTTCATGGCGGTTCTTGGCTGACGGTTGATTATTGTCGTTTCATGGCTGTTAGATGAAATTTCATTCATGTCTGTTCATGGATGGAGTTTCAATCATGGAGTTTCATACTTTCATTCATGTCGTTTCCTGTCTTCTAATAACAAGTAATATGCATGTGGGCTGCTTTTGTTCTGACATGTTATTTTGTTTCGGCTAAATTTTAGTAATGGAATGCTTTTTCATTTTGTTAACGGCATGTTTTATCAATTTTAATTTGATTAATATGATTAATTAAATTAAAGATTGAATGCTTTTTTAATTAAGTTAAATGGCACGTTATGTTTTGAATATTAAATATCTTATTATGCATATTATTAATAATTTGTGATCTTATTAATATTTGTATGCATTTTATAATATGTGATATTATGTTTGCATGTGGTGACTAGTATGGCCCAAAATAGGATAGAAAATACGGTCTGCGTACCGTTGTATTTTTGTAAATATGGTCTGCGCACCGTTTGTATTTTTGTAATTTATTTATTGCTTATTTAAATTAGAATACAATTCAAGAGTTATCCGGCAACGATCCACGATGAATCATGGATGAAGATTCGCGTCTTATCATGGATGGAGACTATGAAGATAGACTTTTTATTTTCATAGAATTAGGGGCCATACTAGGATCACAATTTTATTGCATTTTATCTTACTTATTTAAATTTACGTATGTTGCTCTTATTTATGGTATAAGTTCTCTAGTAAATAAATCAACATAGTAAATTGGGTCCCTAAAAACAATATTGAGATATGTTTTTCCAAACAGACACCTATAAAGCCTTTGATCATAAGTAATAGGTTCCGCCAAAGCAGGGTGTTGCATATAATCTCGGGAATATAGGGTAATATTTATGAAATTTTACAATTCACTGTTTGGTTTTTCTTAACAAGATTATCAAAAGACAAAGTTTTGGGTCTTGAAACATAGAGATGGAAACAAAAGTTGTTCTCTATCGACCAAGAATTATATGAGATATAATTAGTAAAGGTTGTTTACTTACCAATAAAACATTAGATTTTATACATAGGGTCAAAGTCCGCTAAAATTTATTATTTTAAAGGATCTTGGTATTCACATTAAATATACGAGACAATTTTAAAATCTGATAAGTAGCTTTGAATTGTTCAAATTTTGTATGCTACTATGATAAACATATAATTAAACTTTGCTATATTTCTATTGTAGATATCATGTCTAGTAACAACAACAACAATAGTCCTAATTTACGTTCATACCTTGAGAAGGATAAGTTGAATAACACTAACTTCCTTGATTGGGAAAGAAACCTAAGAATTGTTCTTAGGGCCGAAGGAAGAGAGGATGTCCTTGACACCCCTATACCAGTTTTGACAGCCACAGCATCAGATGCTGAAAAGGCCAGTCATAAGGTTGTTAAAGACAAATCAGTGTTTGTCACATGTCTCATGCTAGCTTCCACGGAACCAAACCTTCAAAAGAAGTTTGATGGTATGGATGCTCATAGCATTATCTAGCAACTGAAAAAGGTGTTTCAGAAGTAAGCAAGGATAGAGAGATACGAGAATCATAGAGAGTTGCTTCGATGTGTGCAAAAGGTCGATGAACCAGTGGGAGAACATGTTTTCAAAATGATGGAAGTGTTCCAGAAAATGTCTAAACTGGGAATGACCTATACCACTGAAATGGCCACTGACATAATCATGATGTCATTGCATGATGGATTTCAGCAATTTAGGCAAAACTTTAACATGCACAATAAAGTGCAAACCCTAGAAGAACTGCACGGAATGCTTGTCACTGCTGAGATGGACATTCCAAAACCCAAGAAAGAAGTTTTTATGGTACAAAAGGGTAAGGGGTTCAAGAGGAAAGGGAAGGGCAAAAAGATTGTTAAAGGAAAGGGCAAGCAAATTGCTCAGACTAAGACATCTAATAAGCCCAAGGGCGATCCAAAAGCGGATGCCAAGTGTTTCTATTGTGATGGAATAGGCCATTGGAAGAGAAACTGCCCAAAGTGTTTGGAAGATAAGAAGACAGGCTCTTCAGGTATCTTTGTTATAGAAGTTAATTTAACAACTTCTACTTCTTGGGTATTTGATCCCGGTTGTGGTACTCACATTGTTTCGGATGTGCAGGGCCTAAAAAGAAGTAGAAAGCTTGCTAAAGGAGAGGTAGAACTGCGCGTTGGAAATGAAGCAAGAGTTGCTGCTTTGGCAGTTGGAAAAGTTCAAAGTAGAGCACTGTAGCAGATTCTACAACAAAAGCTGAATATTTAGCAGCAGTTGAAGCGGCCAAAGAAGCCGTTTGGATTAAGAAATTCCTCATTGAGTTGGGAGTTGTGCCTACCATTGTGAATGGTATTGATTTGTACTGTGATAATAATGGTGCAATTGCTCAGGCAAAAGAACCAAGATCACATCACAAATCTAAGCATGTGGAAAGGAAATTCCATTTAATCCAAGAAATTGAATCTAAGAAATATGTCAGAGTTTGCA